TCTTGTAAATATTAACGGGTTCGAGTTCGAGTTTGCTTCAAACCCGACCCGACCCGACCCTTACGGAGCACTAGTTGAAGGCCTTTTTTTGTAAAAAAAAAAAAAAAAAAAAAAGAAAAGAAAAAAAAAGAAATCTTCGATTATTTGAAGATTCCGTATCCGTATATTTCGATATATAAATTTCATTATATATTAATCGGATCATATGTTCCGTCAGAGAATATAAATATGGACTATTTTTCACTAGAATCACTTAGGTTCCCATCGCTTATTATTTAAGTTTTAATAAATTTTTACATATACAATTCTATATCTCATATCAATTTAACCATGAGTGATAATATAACATTTATTCCGTATGATATTCAAAAACTAAAAAAACTAAGACTAACCAACAAAAAAAAAGCTCCAAATATGTTTATATTATTCCGTCGAGATATGATGATCAATAAACCACCTAATATGACAATGACAAATTTCAGTAAATTTGTTTCTTTGCAATGGAAAAACTTGTCTGACTATGAGAAAGCCAAGTACCAGAAACGATCCCAATTAATTAGAGATTTAGAAATAAAGATTGATGAATTTCCTCGAACTGTTGAATGTCAATCTTGTAAATCGGGTGGTGATAAATGTGAAAATTGCTTGTGGAAACTATACTTTAATATACTTTAATTTATGACGACATAATCACGTGATTCGGCGAATTAAAATTTCAGTACGATTTGTCAAAGGTTACTTTTTTTTTTAATTTATCAGATTCGACGAAACAAAATACAGTTACAGCGATCGATTTAATTTAATCTTCGACAAAAAATGAACAAATATCATACAACTATTTTTAACGAACTTATTTTTTTAATTTTAATTTATGACATTTATGACAAACAAGTATGAAAACGTTCATTTAGATTAAAAAAAACAATATAAATAACTATTTTAAGATAAATCTTCAAATGTCGTTATAATGAAATTATTTTGATAAATTTCTTTATAAAAATTAAGATTAAGGGATAATAAAATAATTATGGTTATATTTTAAGCCTATTAACATTATTACATGTATGTAGTTATTTAATAATAAATTAAAATTATAAATGGTTTGATCGAGATAAGATCAAATGTTTATACATAAATTAAGTTAAATACAAGATGCGGGTTAATTCTATATGGAATGCAAACCATCAGTTAATTGGTCAATGGTACCAAAAATATGGATGTACAATGGAATTCTATGAGTACCTTCTTTGGAACATCATAAACATGAATATGTATATGACTTCATTTTACCAGACTTGATATACAGGATATTCCTCGTCATGTCGATGATTGTGCTTCTTGTGCTTCGAATATAAATTTAATCCGAGATATCTTTGGGTTAGGCATTTATGAGATCGTAGCTTTTTTTAAAAAATAATTTTGACTTTATACGATATTATTGATAAAATTTTGATCGAATCAAGTATGAATAGGTATGAAAAAAAGAGAAGTAAGTAAAAATTTAAGAAGAAATTAAATTTTATCCAGAAAAAACTTTCTTGAATTGAATTGAGTAATTTGCAATTATTCTTAAAATAAACCAGTTTTAAATTATATAATATGCACGCCATTAAAACAATCACATGTTTAGGTTAATTATTTATCCCATTTAACTGCGATCAATATGATATAAATACCACACAAATTTTTACTCAACAAAATTCATTTCAAGTGTGTGTTTCGTATATATATATATATATATATATATATATTTTGAAATCTCGGTGAAAATTATTAAAAAATAAAGGTTATCGAGGTGATACAAAACAACGATACTTACTTTTCAATGATCAAAAAAAAATCCTATACCTATCTATAAATCTAAGTCAAAGATCACAATTTATCATATAACTTAATAACTCTTTTTGTGAATACCAGTTGTATCTAAACCATCTTCAAGTTAGTTAAATCTAAATTCGTGGGACGCATTTATTTCACCGACGATCATTTCATCGACAATCATTTCACCGACAAATGATTTACCGACAAGATCATTTTACCGACAACTATTATTTCACCGACAGTTTATTTTTAATAAATAATTTTTTTATTGTAAACTAGTAAAAAAATTTGAACTTTTAATATAATATTAATAACAATAATAATTTTTTCATTTTTTTTTAATTTAGTGATTATGATGTCATAGTATACAATAATAAAAATTGATTCTTAATTTGGCTAATATCTGATAGATAATATAATATGTGATACTATTTATTGTTCG